ACTCTAGTAATTTGCCTACAATTGAGGTCAGGCTTATTGGGCGGTAATTTGACGGTAACGACTTGTCCCCTGTTTTAAAAATAGGAGTTACATTAGCCATCTTCCACATATCAGACACTACACCTGTTTGAAGAGATAAATTAAAAATATTAGTTAATGGTTCACAGAGTTCCATTTTGCATTCCTTAAGAACCCTTGAAAAAACCTCATCAGGACCCGGCGACTTATTTTGCTTCAGTCTGTCTATCTGCCTCACAACCATCTCACTAGTGACTGTGATGTTACATAATTTATCTTCTTCTAGCCCACTGTAAAAATTAATTACTGGAATATTGTTAGTGTCTTCCTGTGTAAAAACTGAGAGAAAATAATTATTTAAAATCAAGCACATTTCATTCTCATTGTCAGTAAGGTGCCCATAGTTATTTTTAAGGGGACCTATCTTATCTCTAACTTTTGTTCTATAGACCTGGAAAAAACTTTTTGGGTTAGTTTTAGAATCCCTAGCAACTTTAATTTCATAGTCCCTTTTAGCTTTTCTTATCCCCTTTTTAATGTCCCTCTTAATGTCAATATACTGATTCATAAGATGACCCTCACCTCTTTTGATACGCCTATAAATTCCTTTCTTATGCCCTAGTAGATATTTGAGCCTATTATTCATCCATTTTGGGTCATTTCTATTTGATCTAATTTCTTTATAATGGGATAAACGCTCTTTGAGCAGCATGTATAGTGTTCAGAAAACTGTCATATTGATAGCTCTCTTCGTTACCCCAGTCAACAGATGATAAGTGTTCTTTAAGCCCATCGTAATCTGCTAAGCGAAAATCTGGGACTGTTACTGAGTTATCGCTACTATCGTACTTCCATTCAATGCTAAATGTAATTGATTTGTGGTCGCTAGCACCCAGTTCCTCTGAAATTTCTAAATTATTAACAAGGGATTCATTGTTTGCCATAACTAAGTCAAGCAGGTTATTTCCCCTTGTAGGTTCTGTCACAAACTGCTTCAAAAAACAATCCTGAAATACTTCTAAGAAGTCGTACGATTCTAAATTCCCAGTCAAGAAATTCCAATCAACATGACTAAAGTTAAAGTCTCCTAGAATTACTACATTATCGTGCCTTGTGGCCTTAACAATTTCCTCCCATAGTAGTTTCCCTTGGTCCCTATCTAAGTTAGGGGGACGGTATATCACTCCTAAAATCAGTTTTTCATGCCCCTCTGAAAATTCTATCCAAACAGACTCTGTATGTGTTACTTCAGACTTAATACCCGTTTTTATGCAACAGTTCAAGCGATCTCGGACGTACAATGCCACCCCACCCCCCCTCCCAATACTTCTATCTTCTTGGAACAATTTAAAACCCTGAATATGACATTCCGCAGGCACGTCCCGACTTTTTGAATTAAACCACGTCTCAGTTAAGGCAAATACATCAATGTTACCTACACTAGCAACTAATCTCAACTCGTCCATCTTATTCCTAGCACTACGGCAATTAGCATAATAAACATTGAAAGACTCTCCTTTCTCTTTACCCTTCCTGCTCATTTCTATTTTTCTACTAAACCTATTACCGTCTTTATCACCCAAGGTCCCTGGCTTTTCAATATCTATCTCGTTCTTATTATTACTAGTTCCCCTAGAACTCGTAATATTACTACACTGGGACTTCACTGTTTTCCTGCCAAAACCCATACCACTAACTATTCCTAGTTTAAAGTCCTAACTGCTCCCTCCACTGCAGTTGCCAGTGCTCCCACCCCACACCTAGATAAGTGAACCCCATCCCTAGCATACATGTCATTTCTGCCATAGAAGAGGTCCCAGTTGTCAATGAATGTTACCGCATTTTCCTTACAGTATTTGTCCAGCCAGCAATTGACACCAATTGCCCTGGACAACCATTCACTTCCAACTCCCCTCCTTGGCAAAATACCACATATGAGAGGGTTCCCACCCTTACTTCTAATTATTTCTATTGCTGACCTATACCTGCTAATCAGATCCTCACTCCTACGTCTGCCAACATCGTTGCCTCCAGCACTGAGACAGATAATAGGATTGCTCCCATTACCTCTCATGATGTCATCCAGACGGCTAACAATATCCTCCATCCCAGCCCCAGGAAAGCAAACTCTCTGTCTCCTACTCCTGTCCTTCAAGCAGAACGCCCTATCCATATACCTAACTTGGCTATCCCCAACAACAACAATATTCTTACCTTCCTTAATGTCTTTCGTCGTGTCGTTCCCAGTAGTCAACTCACATTCGCCTGTAATTGTTTTACATGATGGTAGGATTGCTGGTGTCTTTTGTCTGTCTCATAAATATGCAAGATTACAGGTACGTCTTGCTACTTCTACTTACACTTAGGTCACACTACACATACATATACAAGCATATTTATACACACCCCTCTAGGTATTCTTCTATTTTCTTCATAGTTCTTGTTCATTTCCTCTTATCTTCATGGGGAAGTGGAACAGAATTCTTCCTCCATAAGCCATGCGTGTTGTAAGAGGAGACTAAAATGCCGGGAGCAAGGGGCTAGTAACCCCTTCTCCCGTATAAATTACTAAATTTTAAGAGAAACTTTCGTTTTTCTTTTTGGGCCACCCTGCCTTGGTGGGATACGGCCGGTGTGTTGAAAGAAAGATCGCTATGATTTCCGAAATCTACGACTCTCGAGCCCTATGATTATCGAGGGACCACTGCACCTGTAATCTTGCATATTTATGAGACAGACAAAAGACACCAGCAATCCTACCATCACGTAAAACAATTACAGGCTTTCGTTTTACACTCACTTGGCAGGACGGTAGTACCTCCCTGGGTGGTTGCTGTTTACCAACCTACTACTATAACCCTTACCTAATATCAGCAGGAATTAGCTTCTCCACAGTTGAACAGTCCTGCTTTGTGATCTTGCATTTGGTTATTGCCCATAGATTCTCAATGGGTCAAGGTCAGGAGAGTTTCCAGGCCCACTCCCTTTGAAGAATATCAGCATTTTTCTGGAAGTGTGGCATGGAGCAAGATCCTGCTGGAAAATGTCTTCTCCATCAGGAAAGTTTCTATCCTCAATGGGACATAAATGAGTTGCCAAGAATGCCTTGTATCTGTCACTGTTCATCATTCCCTCAACAACAAGATGTCCAGTAAAACTATCCCAAAACATCCTAGGTGGGTGTTTTGGTGCTTGCTCAACATGTCTATTCCAAAGAGGTTCGCTTTTGCTCTGTTTCACCACCAATGATTTGTACCCATGTACTTCAAAATGTGCCACATCTGACAAGAGTGCCCACTGCAGCCATTTTTTGTTCATAGCAGCAATCAATAATTGTTTCTTTAGGAGCTTTCTAGAAGTTGTGTCAACTTCAAGGAGCCTTCATCAAACAGTTGAAGCCAAATCTCTGTCTAGATTTTTTGTTGTTTTCTTGGGATCCTTCTCACTATCTTTTATGATAATCATTATTGTGAGTTGTCTTTGAATTTTCTTTTACATCTTCCTCGACGCAGTGCTCCACAATCACCAGTGTCGTCAGCTCTCTTCAGAATAAAAGAAACAGCTGACTTTACTAGGCTCAAATATTTGGCATGTTTTCTAAGAACTACAATACTTGCACACTTCCTAGGTGCAACATCCATCATGAATTAAAGGGGAGAACTTGGCAAAAATCACATTTACTCATGAAGCACACGTGCAGTAATTGCCTTACAAAACGACAGCTGTTGTAGCACTGACAAGAGTAGCAGGGTAACACCACAGCCAGATGGTTACCAAAGTTAATAACAAATTCTTATGAAAAGAACCCAAACTACATTAGAAATAAATGGTATAAAATACCAACACAATGGAAATATAAACACATATGCAGTATAATGTGATCCTTTATTGACTACGTTTCGCCCACACAGTGAGCTTTTTCAAGTCACAAACAGATCTACCTGGGGTGGAAGGGATGCGAGTATTATAGTCAGGTTCAGAATGCTGAGGTCAGGTGGAGAATGCTGCATCTGATGATGTACCGAGTGGGGTTATAGAGTCTAAAATCTTGGGTAGCTTGGAAAGGAGATTGGATAAGTTTGTGAGCAGACCTTCTACAGTGTAGAAGAACACTGTAGAAGGTCTGCTCACAAACTTATCCAATCTCCTTTCCAAGCTACCCAAGATTTTAGACTCTATAACCCCACTCGGTACATCATCAGATGCAGCATTCTCCACCTGACCTCAGCATTCTGAACCTGACTATAATACTCGCATCCCTTCCACCCCAGGTAGATCTGTTTGTGACTTGAAAAAGCTCACTGTGTGGGCGAAACGTAGTCAATAAAGGATCACATTATACTGCATATGTGTTTATATTTCCAAACTACATTAATTAAGCCGGAGATTAAGACATACGATATCATCACAAAACTTACCCTGCCCCAATTAATTTGCACACTATTGTATATTAAACATTCACAAATTCATCAAAAATATATTAACAATACTGTCACTATATACATACATTTTAATTACGTATAAACATGATCAACAAGTTTAGAAAAGGTTTAACTGTGTATGTGCAGTGAAAAAAAAAAATTATATTCCTAGAGATATTAAAAAGTAAGGGAGCAAGGGGCTAGTAACCTCTTCTCCTGTATATATTACTAAATGTAAAAGGAGAAACTTTTGTTTTTCCTTTTGGGCCACCCCACCTCGGTGGGATACGGCCGGTGTGTTGAAAGAAAGAAGATTAAAAAGTAAAACTGAAGGGCCTATAAAAAAAATTGCACTGTACTAACATGCTAGGTAGAAAAATCAAATTACTAAAAACCACATACTTCAGTTTCTAAAAATTAAAAAAAGAATTGTTTGCAGACTTTCCTGTAACTTAAACTGACAAATGAAGAGAATACAGATGAGAGATCTACAATATTTTTGGGGTGACCAAAATGAAATTTCACATTATACTGGACATGGCAGAACTTTGCCCTACTGACCTCCTTCACGCGAGCCATTTTGATTGTGAGTCTTCGAATTTGTGCTTGCCTCTCCTTCCTCTGATTAAAGAGTTCCAAGCGTTCTCGTCTAAGTTCTTCTTTTTCAGCTCTACCTTTCTCTTCAAGCTTTCTTTCTATAGCAGCACGCTGTTCCTCCTGGGGATTCAATACATGGAATAAATACGTAACTATTTTATTTATAAAGACCTGTGGAAAACAAAACAAGGCTACTCACTACTTTTACTTTATTTCCTAAGGATGATCTCCATCCCCAACCATAGTATATACAAGCTGAAGAAAATAAAATAGTGCATCTTTGTTAATGTAAATTTATGCATAAATGTTACCATTCTTGTTTAAATTAAAATTTTTATAATACATTTCATTACGGCACTGTAATATAATTTAAACATGAACTTACCTTGTCCTTTTGTTTGGCTTCATCATTTTTGAAACGCTTCAGAGTTCCAAGAAGGGCGCCAAACATGCGACGATTTCTGAGGGTAAAAAAAAAGCAGTGCTGTTTTACTAAAGCAAAAAGACAAGGTATCTAATTTCCCTCAAAACTACCTTCCTAAAGGTTGGCAATGACAAACTGCAAAGGGAGAAAATCAGGTATGATATGATTAACAGGAGGGCTAACTCCAATTTATTGGATCAAGAGCCCATTACCAACATCAAAATGCCACCTCCTTGAAGGAGCTGCATGTCTTAACCATATTAACATACAGTATTTGTAATTATTTTACCTATTTGATAGTAAGAGAAAAAATTCTGTCTGTCTTAATTTTCCTTTAGATAACAGTCATATAATCCAATGGTTTAGTACAGGGTGGTTCAAAAAGATAAACTCAATTTCAAAGCAGTCTGATTTGAAATTAGGTCCACATTTTTAACCCTTTCATTGTCGGTGCCGTAGTACTACAGCTTGCAAACCAGTGTTAGTGCCGTAGTATTACACCAAAATTCTAGTGGCTTCAAATCTAGCAGGAGAAAGCTGGTAGATCTACATGTGAGAGAATGAGTCTGCATGGTCAGTGTGCACAGTATAAAAAAAAAATCCTGCAGTACGCCCTGCACAATGAGAAAAAAACTCCGACCGTGTTTTTGGTTTAAAACACTGACTTTGAGGTGCATATTCATATGGTATGTATTTGGTCTCACTTGATAGAATTGAAGATATATTACATAAATAGATATGATTTTGATTGGTTTCACGATAAAAAGTACCTTGAACTTGAATCAAGTAGCGGAAATGTTCGATTTTTACCAATGTTCAAGAGTAAACAAATGACATCGCCGTCCAATACGTGCCCATGTGGCCAGTCTAATATGCAGTCACGAATGGGTTGACATTATTTATACATTTATTACAATAATGCAATAGTCTGCATAACTGTAAATCTTCTATTTTTTTGTGTGAATAAAAATTCAAAATGGAAAGCAAGAGTAATAAAAGAGGGGCCTGGAGATGTGACTAATGAACAGAGAAAATGTTACTTTTTGTGCCAGGAATGTCTGCATTATTTATTCTGGACCCCATTTTGAAATTGGCATCTTTTGAAATTTGTGAGAAATTGGCCAAATTGCCAATTTCTGACCATTTTATTGGGCAGTTGAAATCAGTAAATGGGCAGTTTCTTGTACTCAATCAATAGATCAAATAGAGTTCTAGCAAAATAGCTGCAAGTTTGGTCCAAGGGAACAACTGAATTGGCCAAAAATAGGGCTCAAAGTGGACAAAATTGCTGCTGCTCATAAATCGCCGAGACAGCTAACTTCGTGAGAGCTTAATTCCATAAGTGTTCCATCAAATTTCGTACTTTTGGTGTCATTATCATCGGGAAAAGATTTTCTATCACTTCATAAAACTTTTTTTTTTTTTTAATTTTCCAACATTGAGACCAAAGTTTGTGAGCAGGGGTCTCGACAGTGAAAGGGTTAAAATGCCCTATACTAACCCTTTCACTGTCAACACTACCCAAACTGAAAACCCCTTCTGTGATTTTTTTAATGAAAAACTATACATCTTGTAAAACTGTGGGGAATTTTTTTCTAAAGGTAATGACACCAAAAATGCAAAATTTGATGTAATATTTATGGACTTACTCAGGCACAATGTTGGAGGTTAGAAAGCACCTTGTGCAAACAGCAATTTTGCCCAATTTGAGACCAATTTCAGTACTCAAACTGACCCAATATCTGGCTATTTTGAAAGTAAGCCTTCTGCATTTTCACTGACAGAAAAACCGCCATATCAACCACTAGAACTACCCAGCAACTTGGTCAATTTTAACCCTCTGACTGTTTTGGTCATATAGGTATACCATCTTTTAGGAGTGAAGAAGAGCAGAATGTAAGTGTGGGGGAGGTACGTGAGGCATTACGTAAAATGAAAGGGGGTAAAGCAGCTGGAACTGATGGGATCATGACAGAAATGTTAAAAGCAGGGGGATATATAGTGTTGGAGTGGTTGGTACTTTTGTTTAATAAATGTATGAAAGAGGGGAAGGTACCTAGGGATTGGCAGAGAGCATGTATAGTCCCTTTATATAAAGGGAAAGGGGACAAAAGAGACTGTAAAAATTATAGAGGAATAAGCTTACTGAGTATACCAGGAAAAGTGTACGGTAGGGTTATAATTGAAAGAATTAGAGGTAAGACAGAATGTAGGATTGCGGATGAGCAAGGAGGTTTTAGAGTGGGTAGGGGATGTGTAGATCAGGTGTTTACATTGAAGCATATATGTGAACAGTATTTAGATAAAGATAGGGAAGTTTTTATTGCATTTATGGATTTAGAAAAGGCATATGATAGAGTGGATAGAGGAGCAATGTGGCAGATGTTGCAAGTATATGGAATAGGTGGTAAGTTATTAAATGCTGTAAAGAGTTTTTATGAGGATAGTGAGGCTCAGGTTAGGGTGTGTAGAAGAGAGGGAGACTACTTCTCGGTAAAAGTAGGTCTTAGACAGGGATGTGTAATGTCACCATGGTTGTTTAATATATTTATAGATGGGGTTGTTAAGGAAGTAAATGCTAGGGTGTTTGGGAGAGGGGTGGGATTAAATTATGGGGAATCAAATTCAAATGGGAATTGACACAGTTACTTTTTGCTGATGATACTGTGCTTATGGGAGATTCTAAAGAAAAATTGCAAAGGTTAGTGGATGAGTTTGGGAATGTGTGTAAAGGTAGAAAGTTGAAAGTGAACATAGAAAAGAGTAAGGTGATGAGGGTGTCAAATGATTTAGATAAAGAAAAATTGGATATCAAATTGGGGAGGAGGAGTATGGAAGAAGTGAATGTTTTCAGATACTTGGGAGTTGACGTGTCGGCGGATGGATTTATGAAGGATGAGGTTAATCATAGAATTGATGAGGGAAAAAAGGTAGTGGTGCGTTGAGGTATATGTGGAGTCAAAAAACGTTATCTATGGAGGCAAAGAAGGAATGTATGAAAGTATAGTAGTACCAACACTCTTATATGGGTGTGAAGCTTGGGTGGTAAATGCAGCAGCGAGGAGACGGTTGGAGGCAGTGGAGATGTCCTGTTTAAGGGCAATGTGTGGTGTAAATATTATGCAGAAAATTCGGAGTGTGGAAATTAGGAGAAGGTGTGGAGTTAATAAAAGTATTAGTCAGAGGGCAGAAGAGGGTTGTTGAGGTGGTTTGGTCATTTAGAGAGAATGGATCAAAGTAGAATGACATGGAAAGAATATAAATCTATAGGGGAAGGAAGGCGGGGTAGGGGTCGTCCTCGAAAGGGTTTGGAGAGAGGGGGTAAAGGAGGTTTTTGTGGGTAAGGGGCTTGACTTCCAGCAAGCGTGCGTGAGCGTGTTAGATAGGAGTGAATGGAGACGAATGGTACTTGGGACCTGACGATCTGTTGGAGTGTGAGCAGGGTAATATTTAGTGAAGGGATTCAGGGAAACCGGTTTATTTTCATATAGTCGGACTTGAGTCCTGGAAATGGGAAGTACAATGCCTGCACTTTAAAGGAGGGGTTTGGGATATTGGCAGTTTGGAGGGATATGTTGTGTATGTTTATATGTGTATGCTTCTAGACTGTTGTATTCTGAGCACCTCTGCAAAAACAGTGATAATGTGCGAGTGTGGTGAAAGTGTTGAATGATGATGAAAGTATTTTCTTTTTGGGGATTTTCTTTCTTTTTTGGGTCACCCTGCCTCGGTGGGAGACAGCCGACTTGTTGAAAAAAAAAAAAAAAAAAAATATATGTCTTAAGAGCCACTGGGTTTGACGTATATATAATCAAATTCTAGTGGCTTCAAATCAAGCAGGAGAAAGCTGGTAGGCCCACATGTGAGAGAATGGGTCTGTGTGGTCAGTGTGCACCATACAAAAAAAATCCTGCAGTACGCAGTGCATAATGAGAAAAAAAAAAGGACGTTTTTTTAATTAAAACGCCGAATTTGTGGTCTATTTTCATATAGTATTTATGATTGTATTCTCATTTTCTTGGTCTCATTTGATAGAATGGAAAACATATTATAAAAATAAAGGTGATTTTGATTGCTTTTACTATGAAAAGAACCATGAAATGGAGCTCAAAATAGGGGAAATGGTTGATTTTTGCCGATGTTCAAAAGTAAACAAATGATGTCATTTTCCAATAAATGTCCAAGTAGCCATTCTAATATGCAGTCATGAATGGGTTGACATTATTTATACTATTACAATATTCAAGTAGTCTGCATAACAGTAAATCTTCTATTTTTTGTTTGAATAAAAATTCAAAATAGAAAGCAAGAGTAATATCAGAGGGGCCTAGAGACTACAAGACTGATGAACAAAGAAAATGTTATTTTAGAGCCAGGAATGTCTACATTGCTCATTCTGGACCCTATTTTGAAATTGTCATATTTTTTAATTTTCATGAAATTGGCCAAATTTCAAATTTCTGACCACATTATTAGGTAGTTGAAATTGGTAATGGGCAGTTTATTGTACTCAATTGATAGAAAAAATGGAGTTCTAAAGAAATAGCTATGAGTTTGGTCGACTGGAACAATGGAATTAGCCAAAAATAGGGCTCAATGTGGGCAAAATCGCCGATTTGTAAATGTCACCGAAGTTGCTAACTTTGCAAGAGCGAAATTCAGTCAGTTTTCCATCAAATGTCGTTCTTTTGGTGTCATTACAATCGGGAAAAGATTCTCTATCATTTCATAAGAAAAAAGTTTTTTTTGGAAGGGGGGGGGGGGAATTTTGCAACACCAGGACACACCTCAGAGTTTGGGGTTGTGACAGTAAAGGGCTTAATATTTTTAAAAAATTGCAATTTAAAAAACAAAGAATCCAAACTAAACACGGTAGGCATTCCCACCACTAAAGAATTTCTTCTTTGCTCATTAATCCCATCCCCAGGACCCTCCAATATAACATTCACTCTTCATTTTGAATCCATTGCCACACAAAAAATTTGATGCTATCCCAATTACTCGCCTAATAAACATAACCATGAATGTCTGGTCATGGTAATTAAAGCAGTCCTAGTAATTAAAGCAGATGTTTTAATAACCCTAGAATTAAACAAGGAGGAAGTCATAAGGGTTAAGTCCCTCCCCAGGAAAAATTGTCAAAAATCAACCACTTCTGCCACTTTGAGGACTATTTCAGGTCAACCTGCAATTTGAAACTTATTAAATTTTTTTTCTATTTCACTAGTGATCTTCTGGTCATTCTAATAAAACCAACAGCCAATAAAACCAAGAAACCATCCTCAAAAATGCCCCCAAACTGTTATTTTAACCCAAACACAAGGTCACAGATTAACTGTTCCCATCATGCACAGAATAGTACAATTTTTTTTTTTTTATATTGAGCACACCTACTGCATACACCAATCCTCTCATATCCATGCCAAAAATTTACTCCTCACATGAAATTTGAGGGTACAATCATTTAAGCACCATCTATGAAAGCAACACTGGTCCCAATAACAGACCTATGCAAGCATGTGAAAGGGTTAATTAATACTGTGCTAAACATTCCATTAAATTACTCTCTATACTAACCTGTCTCGAGAAGCTCTATCCTTTGTGAGTTCCGCAGCGGCTTCAGTACGAGACTTGGTGTCTGGCTGTGGGCGAGCAACCGACGAGGCCAGTGATGGCTAGTAGAAGTAAAAATACAAAATTATTCATTTTTTCCTATCGATCAATGGAATAACAGACTTGCCCTTCTATCTAATAAATTATGATGATGCAGCACATTTTTATGCTGTCATATTACAGACAAATACAGTAGTAAAAACAATCTTGTTAAGTAAGGTGACCTAAGAATGGATTCTGGAAAACCAATTAGCTGGACTCTTCTGGTAAGTGGGAATGGCAGTGCCTGCACTCTCAAGAAAACATGGGAATATTACAGTCAGAACGTGAGTCGACTGATATCGGTACTCTTCTGGAAGGAGGGAATTTGAATGAATGATGGTATATGAGTTTTCTTCTTTGGATCATCCTGCCTTGGCAGGAGATGGCTGTTCTATAAAAAAAAAATTAAATTGCCATTAACCTTTCCCTCTCTCTTAAGTAGATTTACATCATTAGCCCCTTGAAGGTCACAACCCCAAATCCTGAGGTGTCTCCTGGTGTTGCAAAATTTCCAAAATAAAATTTTTTTTTTTCTTATGAAATGATAGAGAAACTTTTCCTGATTGTAACGACACAAAAAGAATGAAATTTGATGGAAAACTGATGGAATTACATAAGAACATAAGAATGTAGGAACACTGCAGAAGGCCTACTGGCCCATACGAGGCAGGTCCTTATCAAAACGACCTCTACCTAAAGATACTCAAGAAATAACTCCCGTACCCCATGACACCAATCAAACCCAGCCCCTCCCACTCATATATTTGTCCAGTCTCTTCTTAAAGCTACCCAAGGTCCTAGCCTCTATCACCCCACTGGGAAGACTGTTCCACGCATCTACAACTCGTTAGAAAACCAGTACTTACCTATGTCCTTTCTCACAAAGTTAGCAACCTCGGCGATATTTACGAATCGGCGATTTTGCCCACTTTGTGCCCTACTTTTGGCTAATTCCATTGTTCCAGTCGACAAAACTCATAGCTATTTCTTTATAGCTCCATTTGTTCTATCGATTGAGTACATGAAACTGCCCATTTACCAATTTCAACTACCCAATAATGTGGTCAGAAATTTGCAATTTGGCCAATTTCACGAAAATTAAAAAATACGACAATTTCAAAATATGGTCCAGAATGAACAATGCAGACATTCCTGGCTCTAAAATAACATTTTCTTTGTTCATCAGTCACGTCTCCAGACCCCTCTGATATTACTCTTGCTTTCTATTTCGAATTTTTATTCAAACAAAAAATAGAAGATTTACTGTTATGCAGACTACTGCAATATTGTAATAATTGTATAAATAATGTCAACCTATTCATGACTGCATATTAGAATGGCTACTTGGACATTTATTGGAAAATGACATCATTTGTTTACTTTTGAACATTGACAAAAATCAAACATTTCCCCTATTTTGAGCTCCATTTTAAGGTTCTTTTCATAGTAAAACCAATCCTAGTCACCAAGAAAATGAGAATACAGTGCACAACCATAAATACTATATGAAAATATACCACAAATTCAGCGTTTTAATTAAAAAAACTGTCCTTTTTTTTCTCATTATGCACTGCGTGCTATAGGATTTTTTTTTATATGGTGCACACTGACTACACAAACCCATTCTCTCACATGTGGGCCTACCAGCTTTCTCCTGCTTGATTTGAAGCCGCTAGAATTATTGAGTACGTATACATCTGAAACACTGACTCGTAAGATGTATATATACAGTGGACCCTCAGCTAACGATGGTATCGGCTAACGTTAAATCCAGCCAACGATACATTTTAATGCAAAAATTTTGCCTCGGCTAACGCTAAAAAACTCGCCCAGCGCAATTCATTTGAGATGCGTCCATGCGTGGCCTGAGCGCACCTCAGTTGTCCCGTGGGTGCCAGTGTTTACAAGCCAGCCAGTGCAGTCGCATCTACACATACAATCGGAACATTTCATATTATCACAGCGTTTTTAGTGATTGTACCTGCAAAATAAGTCACCATGGACCCCAAGAAAGCTTCTAGTGCCAACCCTGCAGGAAAAAGGGTGAGAATTACTATGGATATGAAGAAAGAGATAATTGCTAAGTACAAAAGTGGAGCGCATGTCTCGGAGCTGGCCAGGTTGTATACCAAACCCCAATCAACCATTGCTACTATTGTGGCCAAAAAAACGACAATCAAGGAAGCTGTTCTTGCAAAAGGTGCAACTTTGTTTTCGAATAAGAGATCGCAAGTACTCGAAGATGTTGAGAGACTGTTATTGGTGTGGATAAACGAAAAACAGATAGCAGGAGATAGCATCTCTCAAGCGATCATATGTGAAAAGGCTAGGAAGTTGCATGACGATTTAATTAGAAAAATGCCAGCAACTAGTGGTGATGCGAGTGAATTTAAGGCCAGCAAAGGTTGGTTTGAGAGATTTAAGAATCGTAGTGGCATACATAGTGTGATAAGGCATGGTGAGGCTGCCAGTTTGGACCAAAAACCGGCTGAAAAATATGTGAAGGAATTCAAAGAGTACATAGACAGTGAAGAATTGAAACTTGAACAAGTGTTTAATTGTGACGAAACAGGACAGTTTTGGAAGAAAATGCCAAACAGGACCTACATTACTCAGGAGGAAAAATCACTCCCAGGACATAAGCCTATGAAAGACAGGCTTACTCTCTTGATGTGTGCTAATGCTAGTGGTGATTGCAAAGTGAAACCTTTATTGGTGTATCAAACTCCCAGAGTGTTCAGGAGAAACAATGTCCTCAAGGCTAATTTGTGCGTGATGTGGAGGGCAAACAGTAAGGCATGGGTCCCTAGAAACCTTTTCTATGACTGGTTACACCAAGCATTTGCCCCCACTGTGAAAAATTACCTCCTGGAAAATAAATTGGACCTTAAGTGCCTGATTGAGACACTTATGCAGCATATGGGAATCTTTATTCAGGAAACGTTTCGCCACACAGTGGCTTCATCAGTCCAATACAAAGAGGAAGGCGTAAGGAGAGGAGGAGAATGAGGTAATCAGTCCCTCAACCTGGAGTCGATGTGTTCAGTCCATGGACTGAACACATCGACTCCAGGTTGAGGGACTGATTACCTCATTCTCCTCCTCTCCTTACGCCTTCCTCTTTGTATTGGACTGATGAAGCCACTGTGTGGCGAAACGTTTCCTGAATAAAGATTCCCATATGCTGCATAAGTGTCTCAATCTTCAACTTGTCGGTTTTTCAAACCATTCATCACACCTTAAGTGCCTCCTGGTATTAGATAATGCTCCTGGTCATCCTTCAGACTTGGCAGAGCGACTTTCTGGGGACATGAGCTTCATTAAGGTCAAGTTTTTGCCTCCTAATACCACTCCTCTCCTGCAGCCCATGGACCAGCAGGTCATTTCAAACTTCAAAAAACTCTACACAAAAGCTGTTTCAAAAGTGCTTTGTAGTGACCACAGAAACTCGAATGACTCTAAGAGAGTTTTGGAGAGATCACTTTAGCATCCTCAATTGTGTAAACATTATAGGTAAGGCTTGGGAGGGAGTGACTAAGAGGACCTTGAGCTCTGCTTGGAATGAAACTGTGGCCAGAAAGTGTAGACAAAAGGGATTTTGAAGGATTTGAGTCTAACCCTGAGAAATGTATGCCAGTTGTGGAATCAATTGTGGCATTGGGGAAGTCCTTGGGGTTGGAGGTTAGTGGGGAGGATGTGGAAGAGTTAGTGGAGGAGGACAATGAAGAACTAACCACTGATGAGCTGCAAGATCATCTTCAACAGCAAGAGGCCAGACCTGAGGAAACTGCTTCGGAGGAGGGGAATAGAGAAATTGAAGAAGTTGCCTGCCTCGAAGATTAAGGAAATGTGTGCGAAGTGGCTTGAAGTGCAAATATTTTTTGATGAAAATCTCCCTCACACAGCTATTGTAAGCCGTGCTGGTGACTATTACAATGATAATGTTATGAACCACTTTAGGAAAGTCATAAAGGAACTGGAGGTACAGGCCTCTACAGACAGATATGTTGTGCGACAGAGGTCCAGTGACTCTCAAGCTGGTCCTAGTAGCATTAAAAGAAGAAGGGAAGTAACCCCGGAAAAGGACTTGATACCTCAAGTCCTAATGGAAGGGGATTCCCCTTCTAAACATTAACAACTTCCACACTCTCCCCTCCTCCCATCCCATCAATCATCACCAGATCTTCAATAAAGGTGTCAGTTTGTATTAAAATTAATATTTCATGTGGTAATTTTTTTTTTTTCATACTTTGGGGTGTCTTGCACAGATTAATTTGATTTCCATTATTTCTTATGGGGAAAATTAATTCAGCTAATGATAATTTCATCTAACGATGAGCTTCCACGAACAGATTAATATCGTTAGCTGAGGGTCCACTGTACGGCCAAAACAGTCAAAGGGTCAACCCTTTCAGGGTCGACAGGCCCTCTCCCAGACTCATTCTCAGGGTCGAGGAATTTAAAAAAAAAAATTTCTTATGAAAAGATAGTTTTTTATTCTCAACATTATAGGCTAAAAAAAATTTTTTGCCATCAATACTTACCGAGATATGGAGGTGTGAAGTTGACAGAAAATAAGTCGCACGTGGCATCATCGCCGACTGCCGGTCACCCGGTATTTTCTTATTAACTTTTTTTCTACTTTTTTCTATTTTTTTTTTCAAGTAACTTTTATGGCCTGTGAGACCAATATGAGCACTATTTTGTAAGTTTTTTCTCTTTATTTACTACACAATAACTGCACAAACACTGTTGTCACTACATTTTTTACAAAACTTGTTTACACAAAAGAACAATATAAAATGTTGTTTATTACTATTTTTCTATATTTTATACACTTATGTACAGTCACAGAACATGTTTCAAAAAGTTCTGCAGCCTGTGGAACTCTTTGAAACATGGTGTAATGCACAATGGAGTTTTTCACTCCTCACACATAAAACGAGTCAACTGACCATTTGCGAGCCAATGTTTGGACGAAAATAAAGCGATGATTTCCGAAAAGGAAGACTATCAAGCCGGACGATTATCAAGGGACCACTGTATAATTCTCACAAAAATAAAAACTATCATTTCACAATAAAAAAATTTTTTTTTTTTTTTTTCAAAAACTGTTTGACCCCGAGAACAAGTTTGAGAGAGGGCCTGTCGACCTTCAAAGGCTTAAGGCCACTGTTGTTAACGTATGTCTACGTCTAAAGCATAAATGCCTCCAAATATGCTGTGATTGGTAAATTTTGTTCTGGATATGAGAGAATGGACCTGTTTGATGGGTGTGAATAGTATAAATAATCCTACCTCATGCATGATGAGAACAGGTAACCTCTGACCTTGTGTTTTTTGTTAAAATAGAAATTGAGGCATTTTTCAGGACAGTTTGCTTAGTTTTATTGGCAATAACATTGTGTCAGATGGTGGACCACCATATACAGTAGGGCCCCACTTATAAGGCAGGTTAGGTTCCAGGCTACTGCCAGAAAGCAAACTTCGCCAGAAAGCAGAACACCATTTTTTTCCACTTATAAATGTGTATAAATGCCAGTTGACAAGTTTACACTAACATATATTAAGTTAGCAATAGAACTTAGGCATTAAAAAACAATAAAAAGTAAAATACACACACAGAGTATACTCATTATTTACCTCAAAATATTTTTAGTCTTAATGTAGGGCAAAAGGTGAATAGCATTTACTACAAGAAATTAGGTGTGGTAGCCTTCCTGGCCACCCCCACCCACATAATATACTACGACGATGCTTAAATAGTGATAAAATGCATATACAGGACACTCATTACTTACCTTAAAATATTTGTAGTTTTAATGTAGGGTGAAAGGTGAAAAGTATTTATTTGTAGAAAGTGGTGTGGTAGGTAGGGTAGTGTAGGGAAGCAAGCCTGGCCACCCCACCCACTATGTAAACAAACAGACAATGCATCTGGTTGTGGTTCATAAACATTCATATAAACACCTTACATTGTGTACAAGTTGTCTCCACAGTGGTACAGTAGAATACATAGAGACCAACACTTCAATTCTCATGTAATTTTTAGAAGGAATGGTGCACTGACAAATTATTATTATTATTGTTACAAATTATAATCAATATTAAAATAATTATTATTACAAATAATTAAAAATAATTATTATTAAAAGTTATTACAAATTATTACTGCAAGTTATTATTATAATCATAATAAAAAAGAAACACTAAACCCACAAGGGTCGTGAAATGCTATATATAGAGTGAAGGCATATGAAAGAAATATTTATCTACAGTTGAGGTGTTTTATCTCCGTTATGCGCGCCGTGAAAGTTCTCTGTACATTTTCTAGGTCAGCAATTTCACCTGCCTTGAAAGGTGCTGTTAGTGTGCAGCAATATTCCAACCTAGATAGAACAAGTGACCTGAAGAGTGTCATCATGGGCTTGGCATCCCTCGTTTTGAAGGTTCTCATTATCCATCCTGTCATTTTTCTAGCAGATGCGATCGATACAATGTTATGGTCCTCGAAGGCGAGATCCTCCGACATGATCACTCCCAGGTCTTTGACGTTGGTGTTTCGCTCTATTTTGTGGAAGGAATTTGTTTTGTACTCTGATGAAGATTTAATTTCCTCATGTTTACCATATCTGAGTAATTGAAATTTCTCATCGTTGAACTTCATATTGTTTTCTGCAGCCCACTGAAAGATTTGGTTGATGTCCGCCTGGAGCCTTGCAGTGTCTGCAATGGAAGACACTCATGCAGATTCGGGTGTCATCTGCAAAGGAAGACACGGTGCTGTGGCTGACATCCTTGTCTATGTGAGATATGAGGATGAGGAACAAGATGGAAGCGAGTACTGTGCCTTGTGGAACAGAGCTTTTCACCATGCCTGCCTCGGACTTTACTCTGTTGACTACTACTCTCCGTGTTCTGTTAGTGAGGAAATTATAGATCCATTGACCGACTTTTCCTGTTATTCCTTTAGCACGCTTTTTTGTGCGCTTTTTGCCATGGTCACATTTGTTGAAAGCTTTTGCAAAGTCTGTATATATTACATCTGCATTCTTTTTGCTTTTTAGTGCATCTAGGACCTTGTCGTAGCGATCCAATAGTTGTGACAGCAGGAGCGACCTGTTCAAAACCCATGTTGCCCTGGGTTGTGTAACTGATGGGTTTCTAGATGGGTGGTGATCTTGCTTCTTAGGACTCTTCCAAAATTTTTAGATATGGATGTTTAGTGCTATCGGTCTGTAGTTCTTTGGCTGTTGCTTTACTGCCCCCTTTGTGGAGTGGGGCTATGTTCTGTTGTTTTTAGTAACTGTGGACGACCCCCGTGTCCATGCCCCCTCTCCATAGGATGGTAAAGGCTCGTGATGGGGGTTTCCCTTGCATTCTTGTTTGAACACGGATTTCCCATGAGTCTGGCCCTGGGGCAGAGTGCATGGGCATGTCATTTATCGCCTGTTCGAAGTCATTTGGCGTCAGGATAACTCAGATAGGCTTGTGTTAACCAAATTCTGTGGCTCTCTCATAAAAAATTCATTTTGATCTTCGACTTCAGTCTGGTTAGTGGCTTGCTAAAAACTGAGTCAAAATTGGGGTTAAAAAATTTACACTAATCACCCCAAAAATTAATTCCTCATCAGTTTTGAGTGTGGGGAAGTGTATGAGGCAGGGGGTTTAGAATGAAAGGGGGTTAAAGCAGCTGGGACTGATGAGTTTAAAGTTTGAAATTTTAACAATAACTGCACCAAATAATTTTGAAAACAAATCAACACTTAAAATATATGTACAATTCATTCTTTTTAAATAATAAACTACTATACACAAAAAGTATTTTTTAAGAACTTTATGCAATGCAGTCAACCTATATACTGTATTCATTTTCTCTAAACATGACTAAACAAATTATGTACAGTCATGGGAATCTACTAAACAAGCTAGGCAACTTCCCAGTGCACACAGTACATGTTATTAAAATATTTTTTCTCCAGATCATAGCAGCTTTTATAAAAAAAATTATTTTCAGTAAAGCAGTGAAGGTTGCACTTGCATTTTAAAATGTATACAGTATTATAGATATTTTGATCACTAAATTTAAAAATTAAGAAAGATAATTTACTTCCCTTCGGTATCTTCTCATCTTTTTTAAACCACCTCTGGGACTCGCCTGCCACGGGCTTCCCCATGGACTTCTGTCCTGAAGTCATTATGTGACTCTACTCGGGGAATCCACAGCCCGGTGATCCCCAGGATTTCACCCCTTAGATCACCTCGAGAACGGCTCCTTGGCCTCATATGTTGTTGGTCAAGCACTACAGCCCCCAACCTGATGATTGCATAATTTTTTTATCTGTGTGCATGATATAAAAATTACATATGTACTATAAATCGGAACTAGGGAAAAAAAAAAAAAGTTTGTAAATGATAAACATCCCAAAAAACTTAGTTTCCTGAATTTTGAGGGGATACACAAATTGCAATATTGTTTCTGTAGTCTAAATTGCCCAGTGGCAACAGGAACTGGGTTTTACTGTACATTTCATTAACCCTTTCTTTTTAACCCCTTTTAGGGTCGACAGGACCCCTCAGAGACTTGTTCAACTATCCAGTACAGTGGTGTTACAAAAAACGTGATTCTAAAAGCTTAGAGATTTTCCAGTGAATACTAGAAAGGACTGCCCTTCTAGCATCCCCGCCTGTTACTGGGTTTTCATAACAAGTAGTCATATCCTTTTCAAAATTATCCATTAGAATTCAATATGATTCAATGTGCTTCAGGATTACAACTGGTGGCTATAACTAGAGAAATTAAAATTTAATAAATTTATTAAGTCTAGAGGTATATTATCAAATTAAATTCAATTAAATTAATCACAATAATCAAAATAATATCACATCTCTCGAGTTCAATATTATTGTGCTGAAAGCACATATCGCATTTATAATTCTTAAGTACCGTCTGGTACATTAACATTTAACCCTTTGACTGTTTTCGACGTATAAATACGTCTTACGAGCCAATGTTTCTGACGTATATATACTCAATAATTCTAGCGGCTTCAAATCAAGTGGGAGAAAGCTGGTAGGCCCACATGTGAGAGAATGTGTCTGTGTGGTCAGTGTGCACCACATAAAAAAAATCCTGCAGCACACATTGCGTAATGAGAAAAAAAAAACTGATCGTTTTTTTGGAATAAAACGCCGACTTTGAGGTGTATTTTCGTATAGTATTTATCATTGTATTCGCGTTTTCATGGTCTTAGGTGATAAAATGGAAAACAATAATTACAGAAATAGAGATGATTTTCATTACTTTTACGAAGAAAACGACCTTGAAACTAAGCTCAAAGTAGCGAAAATGTTCGATTTTACCAATGTTGAAGAGTAAATAAATCACACCACACGTCCAATACACGTCAACTAGGGAGTCTAATATTCTTTCACTAGTGCACTGATATTATTTATACCATTTTTACAATAATGCAGTCGTCTGCATAACAGTAAATTTTGTATTTTTTGTATGAATAAAAAATCAAAATAGAAAGCAATAATAATATAAGAGGGGCCTAGAGATGTGACTAATGAACAGAGCATATGTTATTTTAGTGCCACGAATGTCTACCTTGTTTATTCTGGACCCTATTTTGAAATTGGCATCTTTTTTATTTTGCGTGAAATTGGCCAAATTGCCAATTTCTGACCACCATATTGGGTAGTCCAAATTAGTAAATGGGAGGTTTCTTGTACTCAGCTGATAGATAAAATGGAGTTCTAAAGAAATAGCTATGAGGTTGGTCAACTGGAACAATGGAATTGGCTGAAAATTGGGCCAAAGTCGGCGAAATCGCCGATACGCATATGTCGCCGAGACCGCTAACTTCGCGGGACCATAATTCCACGAGTTTTCGACCAAATTTCGAACTTTTGGTGTCATTACCATCGGGAAAAGATTCTCTATCATTTCATAAGAAAAAATATTTTTTTTTTTTTTCAAAAATTGAGCGACATAGAATGACAGTTTCAGAGAGGGGCCTGAAACAGTCAAAGGGTTAATAAGATATTACAAATATGTACAAGCAAGTGTGTATGTGTGTAAGTGCTCTAAGTAGTTCTCTGTCTCACGACTCGACTAGACTTAAACAAGTGACTGACAAAGTCCTCATATAAACTAACCTCTTGACCGATTGGCAACCAGAACAGTCTGCTTGAACAATAAAAAGAATGCTAAGCCCAATAGCAATATAACAAGCAACTGCAACACAGAATCAGGAACAAGGAGATAATATAACGACACTAAGTAGGGACCATCAGCAGATCCTCCACAAAAGTTACAAAACTCCCATACTACTGAATCTAAGTTCAACATAAGAAAATCCCGACTGTGATAATACACAGAAACCAGTACAAATTAGGTCATAAGCTATAGTTCAGGACCTGAGTTACTCAACCCATTCAGGGGTTGCAACACCCCCCCAACACGACAGACGGTCGCACTAGGAGTTGCATTGTCTTTCACATTATTACTGATTACTCATATCAATACAATTTAATATAAATATTAATCAGAGTCACTCTTGTGCCAAGCACTTCTATCATTCAACAGTGTCAGTTTCACTAGGATATGCCCCTAGACTAGGGCAGTACACAGTATCGTATCTCTGCATACTCGTGGTTTTTTGTACTCAGTGTAGGGGAAGGGTAGCAAGGGGAA